CTTTTTCCCTGCTTAAAGGTGTCCTTTGCCTTGTGATGGACGCTAGAAATACTCCAGGTAATCAAATGCCCAGAGCTGGCTGAGAACTCTCAGTAGTGAATTGTTATTGCAAGGTCTGCAAAACCATTGGACATCTGGAAATGATCCGCTTTACAAACACATCCTTTATAAAGAACTAATACTCTTCAGGCTTCGGGAGCCATTTCCAAAGTACTGCAGGGGAAAAGGAACTATTTTGCAAAAACAGAGAGACGAAGGATTTTCGCTTACCCCAGCAGCTGTGTGTGAAGCACCTGGCGGGGCACTGGGTGCTGGCTGCTGCCTGCTGTGTCAGCAGCGATCCCAGGCACAGCAGGAGATGTGCCCAACCCACTGTGTGCTGAGCAGATGGACCTGGTTCCTCCTTGGCTTAAGTTGCCTTAGTAATTCGGTTCCAGAACGTTCTCTTCATGATTCCCCAAGACAGATATATGTCACTGCTCCTCACAAGCATTGGTAGACTCTTTTATACCACTCTCATTTTTCATAGTTTGATTGTTTCCAGCCTTCCTCACCAGAATCGAACTAAATATATATCTAGCATGGAAAAAAAAATGTGAAAAGAGGTGTTTCAGACATATGTGGGCAGATGCAGCTGAAAAACTGCCTTGAAGTGTTTCCAGGTCTCAATTTTAGCTTGAATAAAGTTTTTAGAAAAATCTGAAATGACTTTGGGGCATACTTGGGGGAAGAAGGGAGGAACAGAAATCATCATTCATAGAAAAGTCAGCGCTGAGGATGTTACGATTTTGTGTTGAACTCTTCATTTCATCCACCAGTGCAACGACTGAATGGTGCCTTGCTTTGCTGTAGGTTCAGGGCAGATGGATTTCCCAAGATACACGCAGAAATAAGAAAGAAACTCATGTCAAATGTTATTGAGCAACTATAAAGAGAGTTTTGAGGCCATCCATCTTTCACTTGTGAACCAGGTGCCTTCCTGATTCAAAGCACATAAAACAATGCTGTAGCAATGCTGCTTATACCTCTGAAGGGCTGGAGCTGGTCTGCGTCAGCTCTTACCAAACCCCTCATCCAAAAATTAAACTAGATATTGCGTTGTGCATTAGGATTCAGGAAAGTCTCTGATTTCTTTAGAGGCAATAAGATTAATGGTAACACTTAGTATGATAAAAGCTTTTCCTGTTAAAAGCTGCATACCCTCCTTCTTCACCACGCAAGTCAATCTCTTCCTGCAAGTGACAGTGGCAGGGACGGAATGAGATTGTACTATACCACAGTAAGCATTATTTTGGATAACCAGCCTCCAGATATAATCTCTTCCTATAATCTTCTAAGGCTTTCTCTTATAAAGCCTTCTGCATGCTTGAGATCATACCCTGATTACATTGACATGAAGGTCTTCCCAGGAAGGGACATGCAGCAGTCTGCTCGAGCAATCTGTACACTCCTTACCGGCATCCTGAGCAGCCCGCTCTGCCAAGATAAGGAGCTGGATACTAAATTCAATCTTCCTGTCTGGGGTAGCTGCTTCCCCCCTTCCTGTCAACGCTGTTTACATCAGTGCAGGCAGGACACAGTCTTCCAAGCACAGATTGCTGACTATCCCAATGCTCCTCTGCATTAGCTGAAAAACATACACTCTATTTGCTATCACAAGCATTGCATTATCTTATAGTAAGGCCATACTGCTCCCCTTTAATTAGAGACTGAAAAATTCAATAGACACCTTATAAATCCCACCAGTTTTCAATAGCTAGTTAGCATTTTCCCCCCTCTGTAGACAATCACATTTTAAAATAGATGTATTTAGGGTACCTGAGGCTGAAATATCATGTCTGTTTGTCCAGTATGAAAACATCTCTTCTTTCTCCCAATTCTTCAGTGGAAGCTCCAAGGCTGTAAGCGTTTCAGTTTCATTAAATGCTCATGAAAAACTTTAACGATATTCTTGTATTTGAGTAACAGTTATAAACCACTGGCTTTGAGGCTTTTCACCTGAATGAATGTATCTGAAGTCTACCACCTGGAAACAGCTTGAAAAGTACTGCAAGAAGCCCATAGCACAAATATTAGAGGAAAAACCCCAACCCAAATGAGTTGCATTCAGCTCACTTCTTGTGGACATCTTTGTGAAACACAACGGTACCCTCTGGAGGTGCAGCTCCTTTCTTCTGCACATCGCTTCACTGTGCAGCTCAGGGGCCCAGCATGGAAGTGACTGGGGGGCAGCAATGTGGGGCAGATCCAGCCCCGTCTTCTGGGCCAGACCTATGGGATTGCACTCATCCTAAAAATCTCCTAGAGGGGACACCTCCTGTAGTGGTCCTTTTGTCCTTCCTTTTGATAAATGTTTTGAGGACATCTGAACTTCCCCCTACAGCACGCTGCTTTTATCTCTGTTATTTAGGTGTGTCTGCATTACTTCAGAACTAAACAAACAAAATCCAAAGCAAAGATAAGGTTTATTTATCGCCTGAAAAATGTATCCACAAAGCCTTTTTACATCAGTTTTCTGCAGGATACTACTCGGCCCTGCTTGCTGTTCTGTTCCCTAGTAAAACTTCTTGCCAACTGTTTCTCCTATTAAAGGGAAATAAATAAGGAAAAAAAGTTACTGAGATTACTCATCTATGGTGTAACTAGGCTAAATTCAGATGATACTCTTCACCAGCAAAATAAGCAACTTTTGATTTTATGGGTGAGATATATCTGTGCTCCTGGTTAAAGGCACGTTATCGCCTTGGGTGCAGAAGTTAGCCTTGAAATTACAGAAAGAAGCACAACCTCACAGGTTAATAGAGACTGTGTTTAGTACTTAACTTCCATCTACTGATTTACTGAAGGACCTGAAGAGAGTTCAAGTGGATACACCATTTTATATCTTGCTGTTCACCAAAACCTTAACCATGGCTAACGGCTGATGTACTGCAAGGTACAGGTCCTTGGAAGATTCTCACTGCCAGCAGTCACATGCTATGGAGCAGCTCCCATCTTCCATATTGCTTTTCTTCATAGACAGAAACAATCTTTTGGCATTTCTAGAACCTTGATCTTATGCCAGTTTCTTTGTAAGTTTTGCCATCTTGTCACACCTTGGGCAGTGTGCTTTCATAGAATCAAAGAACGGCCTAGCTTGAAAAGGACCTCAAAGATCATCTAGTTTCAGCCCCCCTGCTGTGAGCAGGGTTGCCAACCACCAGACAAGGCTGCCCAGAGTATATAAACTATATCAACTTTGTACTGGACATCATGAGATTCTGAATTACACAACCTCTGCTTGCCAAAATTGCTTAACAGCATTTTCAGAGGAAATTAATTTGGGCAGGGTGAAAGGTAAATCCCAAAGGAGACTCAGTTCTTCCTCTGATGTTGCTAGAAGATACATACACATGTGTGTGTATGTATGTATGTATGTGTGTATGTTTATGTATATGCACACACATTTTTACTACTGATTCTTTAGCTGAGGGCTAAAAGATAATCAGCTTCAGTACAGGTCAAGGACCACTTGAGTAGTTTGGATGAAGTCATGCAAAAATCAAGTGGAGTTGCCACAGATCTGGCTGCCCCATCTATAATTACACCAATGGGAGACAAATACAAAAATAGGTAAACCTTCATTACTCTAGAAAAAAAGGCTGTGGTTGTACAGTTAAGCAGAAGCCTGGACTGCAACACTCAGCGGTGTTGCTCTGCCCTCTACAGACGACATGGTGTAATCACATCTTACTCCCAAAGACACTTTTAAAGTATGTCTAAAACAGCAGAATTAAAGCTGTCAAAGTGAATTGAACATGCATAGGAACTACCCTCTAGGGTATAGGGTATAGCATAGGAACTACCCTCTAACCACACACTGTGACACTGCAAAGCATGAGTAAGGTAAGTTGGGGGTATTTGTGAGACAGTGCTTCCTGTGACTTCTTACCACATCCACACTGCCTATTCAGAATGAGAAATAATTGTTGCCCCAATGGCACCAATACCTGGAACTCAAGCTTGAAATAGATTATAAGAGATATTTAGGTCAATTACTCTAATTTGTGTCATGCAGAATTTCTTCATGCTGGAGAAACAAGATTTATTCCAATGCCTGTAGGCAGAGTAAGTTCTTCCTGGTACTTTGTCATAACAACATCTAGGAGACTGCAAATGGAGTGCTCCCTTCATCCATAACCCCACATTTAAGTGCTATGAAACTAGTGATAGCCTGCCTTCACTGACACATGAAGGTACCAGCATCCTGCTCTGTAATTTCAGCTATATGCCACCTCCCACAGCAACTGCCTCCAACTTTTATCCTAGCTAAGCGTTCAAGAAATGTGGTTAAATGCATCTGCCTTTTTGAACTCACTTCAATTTAATGTACTGTCCATGTGCTGTCTGATAGAGAATGATAAAACTCTTTTAATTCATACATAATTGCTTCATCCCCACTGAGGTAAGAAGACAACATCTACTTGCTCTTCCTCACGACCTAGCAACACTTTTTTTATTGCTGGAATTTCATGACCCTTTCAACAGAGAAAACATGGTCCCCCATCATTTTCGTAAGTCTTCTCTTAGACAGGAACAATGTATTAGAGTCACAGTTTTCAAGACACACAATTCAGATTTGTTCCACTTCTTCATTTTACTGACACATTTACATTTTAAAAAGACATTCCTCAATGCACATATGCCCAGTTCCAGGCACGGTAGGTGGCTCTCACAGATGAGCAGCACATGGCACTCCTTTATTTCCATCCCCCATAGGTTGGCTGTCTGTGGTGATCAGATTGTTGTATAAAAGGCAAAACTGGTTGGGCCCAGTGTGAAAAAAAAAAAAGCCTGGTAGGATGAATTTGCTTTGGCATCTCCCAAAACAGCGCACTGTGTGAGTGCCACTTGTGCCAGCTGCACTCAGGAAAGAAAGAAGCGAGCGGTCTTCTAACGAGTGGAAGCTTCTGGTGCCTCACATTTACAGAATGCTTTAAGTAAAAAACTGAAATACTTGCTCAGAAAAAAAGAAATCTTTATTCAATTTTACACAACGCAGACCCTGCCGTATGTAACACTACTATGCTTTAGTATGTTAAACTCTATGGCAGGCCAATATCTTTAATAAAAAAGTCATAAAGTAAAGCTGTAATAAAATATATTATGTACATCAGAACTTTGTTTCTCTTTAGAAGTACTGCATGAACACAGATTTTAAGAAGTTGCTATGACATTAAACCACCAGCTGCATTTCCAACTGCACTTTTGCATGGATTCTCATTTTGTTTTACCTATTGCTTGTTTTGTTGAGGAATCTGCTATGGACTAATGCTGCAGGCTAGAAAATTTCCAAGTACATCACCCAAGCCAAATGAAAGTCTTGTTATCACCTTGCCTACTTCCCAAACAGAAATGGTATTATTTCTTCCAAAGCAAAAATTAAAGGAAAATAATGATCACATTTATACTCAGCAAAGCTGTTCTCCAGTACTTCAGTCTGACAACAGCTGAATGGCATTCTGAAACAAAATTCTTCCTGTAATCCCAGCTGTCTCAGAGAAGTGACACAGAAGTATCATGTAAACTCTGGGCTATATCTTGAGAACCTTTGTGCAATCTTAGAATACTTTTAAGCACAGAAGCTCCAACGTTACATCCTTTTACATTCTTTTCATTTGAGGAGGTTTGTAACGCCTAACACTGAAGGTAGGGAACTCAAATGCTTAATACCAGTCCTCTTTCCAACAAAATAATTACCTTTAATGACACACTATTCTCAGATCTAGAAATACATTGAATTCTGTAATGGAGAACACTGCAATAAGCATTATTTCTGCATGTGTCTGTAACTTCACTTGGACAATGTGCTGCCATCTATACCCCATCTATCTGACCAAGGTCAGGACCAAGTAAATATACTTGAATAAATGTGATTTCAGAGGAATGCTCAGGTTTCAGTACACACTTACCAATAAAGATTATCTTTTAACATTTTCAGGGCTTGGAATGTGGTCTTAATGGTGTTAGTGGCAAGATCATTTGATAACAATCACGTATGAGAGCACACTGTTTCTACAACTGTCTGGGTTAATAGAAGACTGAGTGCTGAGGTGACATAAGAAAACTGCTGATGTAATGGTATCAATCAATATTCACAGCAATTTTTACTTCTTCTGCACTTTTAGTCTACATGTCTCAATTCCTCCCTAGCCTCCCCTTTTCAGGTGCTGCAGGTCGTCTTCTTGTCATAACGATCACTAAGACAGATGCATTGAACTTTGTTCCAGCAAGGCTCCACACACTTGGTAGTTCTAGAGAGGGTGACAACTTGTTTAAAACAGGGTGCAGGAGACACGCTTCTTCTCTAAGTCACATGAGACTTGGTCTCATCAACTGAGACAGGTGCTAGGACTTGGCCTGTTCCCTGCTGTCATGGTTCTATGTTTTTTGGTTTTGTTTTTTTTTTTTTGTTTTTGGGTTTCAGTATTCCACATCAAAACATCATGTAGTGTACTGGGCATTAAAGTGTCACTGCCCCAATCCCAGGTACCTATCCCTGTGCATTACAGCAGTCACGGGATCTGGCCCTTCCGGGTGGGGGGGGGCGCTCTCTTGCTGCCTGGCAGTGGGTGCTGGAGGGTGCTTTCCTGGCCGTTCCAAGCTTTTCAGGTTTGAATCGGTCCTGGGAACTCTCTCTCTCTCTCATCTTGTCTGATTTATTAATCTCAATTGCAATTAAATTGTATCTATTGTGTTATCTTGTATTCCAATATTATAGTAAAATAAGTTTTCCTCCATAGATTGTTGCCGCTGTTCTTTTCCTCCCTTCCTTCCTTCCCATTTTTGTGGGACTGGGGTGGGGGGAGGGCAGAGGCCTGTCGCCCCTGTCACGGACATAGATTGATCTGGTCAAATCCGTGACACCTGCTCACAGTGTTTTCTACATTATAGCACCTGGAAGCCCTGATCAAAGCAGCATCCCATGGGGCTACCTGGTTCAGTCTCAAATGGCCTTGAAACAGGCAAGCCAAGACAACTCAGCACTCTTTGAAGTGCCTTCAAGAAGAACAAAATTCCTTCTTCTCTTTGCTTGTTAATAAATTAGGCATTATAACGGAGTTGTTCTCTCACCATTACCTGGTTCTAACTAGTGTTCTCCAGGAACGGAAACAGCTTTGACCCATGTGAACAAAACCGACCAACACTCACCTCTTACAGTCCACATAAGGACTATCTCTTCACTGAGGAGAGAAAGGTCAGCTGACCTCTTCCAGTAGCAGACTGGACATTAATCAGCTGGTCTCCTGTTTACGTGTCTCCTGAACCTGTTGTTTTAGACTTGTCACTGTTGAAACTGCTGTCTGAAACAGCAATTGTGTTGAAAATAATACCTGGCCACAAAGTTTGCATACACCGCTATGCCAAGGGAGACTGAAGTATCTCTCCAAAGCCAATTCACCTCTGAGCCTACTAGCAAGGCTGCGTGTGCCACATGAACATGCACATGCACTCTACAGCACCAAAGCACTGTGCATGTAAGCACTGCTAGGTCTCCCAGGCACACTACAAGTCCCCTAAAAGCTTTAAAAAACGCTCATAGAAGCGGAAGGTGAGCAGGAAGCAGAATGCATTATGCCTCTGGTCACAAGCAAAATCTGCTCTTTCAGAAGGGTACAGAAAAAGCTACAGACTCAAGAGGCGACTTTTTAAGAAAGATCATGTAATTGTTCTAAAAAAGCTCAGAAGAACAACAGATCGATCATGTACAAATTACAGCAATGAGCAAAATGCCACAAAAACAGAAATAGATCAGTAGACTTAGAATTTGCACAAAGGAAGTAATTTTGAATTTATATGTAGAATATAGAATCATAGAACAGCTCAGGTTGGAAAAGACCTTAAAGATCATGGGTACAACCACGACCTGACCATACTACCCTAACTAACAACATTCCACTAAATCATGTTCCTGAGCACCACATCCAAATGGATCCGAAACACATCCAGGGATGGTGAATCAACCACCTCCCTGGGGAGCCTATTGCAGTGCTTAACAACCCTTCTGTAAAGAAGTTTTTCCTGATATCCAACCTAAACCTCCCCTGGCACAACTGGAGGCCATTTCCCCTCGTCCTGTCACCTGTCAACAGTGAGAAGAGACCAGCTCTGCTCTCTCTGTAAGCACCTTTCAGGTATTTGAATATTACACACTGCATAGCAGAAATACTAACAGACTTCCCATTATGGGACCTTTCAATAACATGATTGCCAAGATAATCCTGACCTTCCTTCTTCTCCCCTGAAACCCAAATCCATCCCTGTGTTATTTATACGTACCGAAAAGCAGGAGTTCATAAACTACAGTGACACTAGCTACAATCAAGACAATTCCCCAAGTAACATAATACTGGAAGTAGTGTTATGATGTTGCTGGGGGAAGGGAGTGTGTTGTAACAGGGCAGTTACACTTTCTGAATAACATTCGGAAGTGAGGCTGAAGTGAAAGCTACAGAAGCTGAAAAAAATCCAAAGGTGAAAGTCAGTGGGGATATACTGCTTTCTCACTCCTTACAGACCGAGCCTTTTTTTCCCTTGAAAGTATCGACAGAAGTCATACAGTCTTCAAAACATCTTTTAAATTGCATGTTTAATAGTTGTACAATAACCTGTTCATCTCTTGCAATGAAGGCTGAAGGGAAGTCAAAGAAATTCCCTGTGGTAAAAGTCCTGAGTCAGCAGAAAGTGCTTTGAAGAAAGCAGTATGAATTGGAAAGAAATTTCCAACACCTGCAGATTTTGGCTACTGTCAGCTCAAATAAAGTGTTGGGGGTGCGCTGAGACCTTAGAGGTGAGAGTTGATCTTGCAGTATACTTTTAAGAGATCTACAACCACTTGCTCATTAGCAGCTATGAGCAAAGCAAAACAGTATTAATTTCTGTGTAGAAATGTATACACTTGTGTGTCATGGCTGCATCTCAGCCCACTGTTTTCTCTGAGCCCAACATTTTGCAGCCAGGGGAAAAAAGGCTCTGTGCTAGATAGGAGGAACATGCTTAAGGTGCTTTATCTGTGTCTAAATCTGTCCTTTTCCTCTTCCTTTCTCTTACACTGCTGAATATGAGCCTTAGCATTATTTAGTCTCCACAAAACCTACAAACTGTTTCTCCTAATAATTCAACTCCCCATACTGCTTGCAATACAAAGTGAAAAAAAGAGTTTTTGGATAAAACTCTGAGTGTTATGATCTATTTCTAAATAGAAATATTCAGGTTTCTCTCTGTTGCCAGAAAACTGCAGGTGCCACACACAGGAGGACTTCATTCTGCATGTTTACCACAAACCCACCGAAGCTGCTGGTCTGCCTGGAGGTCAGTTAATTCACTGATGGATCTCCAGCTGCACTGACAAGCATACGCTCGCGATCCTTTCTTCTTTATCATCTTTGCCCTCAGTTTATTGAGCTCAGGCATGTTATTCCTGTCAAACAAAGGAGTTCAGTTTTAAACTGTACTTTTTCTTTTTTTTTTTATTAAAGAAGAAAACTCATGAGGCTATTTCATTTCACAAAAGCTCTTAACATTTCTGAGTACCACTGAATGGGTTTAGGGATACGCTTAAATTCTGTTTTGAACACAGTCCTCTCAGTGCGTAGTTTCTGAACTCTCAAATCAGATGCAGTTTAATGTTTCTGTAAGTAATGTTCTCTGTCTTGTTTGGAGACCCTGCTTCAGCCTCCAGAGAAAGAACCAGGTAGAATCAATCTCATTAATAAGAAATTGTACAAAACTGTATTAATCTGATCAACCTTTCATCACTATTACAATTATCTGATACTACATCCTTTCATGTTATTATATTTTTTATAAACTCAGGATTTTGGAAGCAGAAGAATTCAGTCTTTAGGTAAATTGAAGAATTGTATTTTTATTTAGCCTTTCTAGCTACCAAACTCACCTTAGGAGGTTAGGGCAGCACTGTATTTTTACATTTATTTTACAAATGTTGCTGTTTTTAAGCACTGAGAATAAAAAATTTTCACTGTAAAAGAAATGCAAGTTTTTGAAACCGGAGGGAAATCATAGGAAAACCAAAAACGTAGTATAAGAAAAATAATGGAACAGGAGAGGATTTATCCATTACTGCTCTGTTCCAGCTCCCACACCCCCTGGTGGCCAAACACGTACTCTGAACGCAACCATTACCTCCACCTGAGAACAGACAAATACAGAGAATTCACCACAATAAGAATTTAAACTTGGTGTCTGCACTAGGAGCATGCCTACTGTGTAACACTTCACTGAGTCTTAGCATTTGGTACAGCTGCAGAGAAACTGGAAAGAAGAATGCCTTAATTTTAACTCTTCCAAAAAAATCAACATGACTAAAATCAAAGAGTTCACAACATAACCAGAAAGTAAAAACCCCAACTCTCCAATTAACCAAATACTGCTTAAAAAAAATAAATAAATAAAAAAAGCCTGTTAAGAAAGCAAGCTATTTGATTTTCAATGAACAGGGCAATACTTCATACTGCAGAAAGCAGAAAAAGTGCCTTGAAACAATTGTAGCTTATGCCACTGCAGGTATGGTGAGAAGCACATGCTGGCACTGCATTCAATTTCTTTTGACATCCAGCAGTGGCCCATCAGAGGCCAACCCATCACACTGATTACCTGCTTATTTTGACAGTAATGCTGCCTCACAATTTACCAAACCTGAACTCTTTTTAAAAGCAGAAGGTGAGGGTGATGGAGGAAGGAATGGAAAGGCATGAACGCAGATGGTGGGAGATGTCTGCAGGAAGAAGAATGCAGCTTTCCCAAGCGATTACTGAAGAGGTTGCACCCATGCTCCTTATTAGATAACAAAGACTGCCAAGGACTCTTTCCCTGGTCCCATCAAGTCCTGAAGCAGAGTAAAACAATATTAACACCAAACCCTCCTGAGACATACCTGAAAAAAAGATAATCACAGGACTGATCCCAGATGTAGTCATTGAAAAGCGATACACGGAAGTCACAAGCAGTGCAACGCAGCTGGTCACACGTCCTGGCCAAAGACAGAAAAACCACCAGAAATCTCCAAGAGCTTGTAACAGTAAGAGAAGCTACACAAATCGTTACAGTTTTACAACAAAACACACTCAGAAATACTAGAAGTGTGGTTGACCTGTAATCTTAATTTTCCACATCTCTGGATGACCCATTATGTACGCATTCAAACCTACGATCACGCAGTAACTTTTCCAGGTTCCTTGAATATGCCAAATAAACTGATATTCCATATATACTCTTTGTTCCTTCTCACTGGTGTGGCACCTGACTATCACCTGCATAGGCATCATGTGTAAATTACTACAAAAGAAGTTTACAAAAGAAGCAGAAGGAAATGCATTAATTTTCTATTGGATATCAGAGCTATGTATCTGAAGTCCCTTTCCTCCAGTTAAAATACCTTTCCTGAAGTTACCAAGCACTCTGCTTGTCCTCAATTGAGGCTCTGGGATGCCTGTCTTCAGTTCAGGCTGTGGGATGACTTAAACCAGTCTACTGATTTAGGAGGCATGCTCTGCCATCACACAGAAAGCTAAAGAGAAGCACAGAGAAATACAACACTAGAGCAACAACCTCCTTAACTACATGGGTTTGATTTTTGGAGTCTCTTATCTCATTTGCACACATTCTTCAACTCCTCAAATGAATAAGAGGATCCAGTGGTCACAAACAGGGAACCGGAGGGGATCAGCAAACTCAGACTGCAGTTACAGGCAGCTGTGCGTTTCAATGGATATAGAGCTGTCACTGCAGTTCAAACTCAGGGCTCTGCACCACCACAGAAACACAGTTGTGATTAAAACTAATTTAAAACTAATTTAAATTAATTTAAACTAATTTAGATTAAAACTAATGATAAATAGATTTTTTTTTTTTAAACCTTTTTGAAATATTTGTTCCTACGCCATTTGGTGAAGAGCTTCCACCCAGGTACACTGGACAGCATCTGTGGATTTAATTAAAAGAAAATAATGAAGTAGTAGCAAAACATTTTGAAAAAAGGCAGCTTAATGCCAATGTAAATGGTTGTGTGTTACACTGCTTCAAGTAGTACTTTTTCAGCAAGATTTTCCTTTAGTCGCTTAAAGGCCTGGCAAGTTAATATTTATGCAATACAGGCAAAGCATCAAATGCTTATGAATGATTTAATTCAATTTTTTTTCTTTTGCCAAGATACTCATAGAAAAACTGTGATAAACAATGTCTATATGGAACTGGGGCTATTTAGTCTGGGGAAGAGGAGGCTGAGGGGAGACCTTATTATGCTCTTCAAATACCTGAAAGGTGATTGCACCGAGAGCAGGGCTGGTCTCTTCTCACTGGTGACAGGTGAGGGGAAATGGCCTCTAGTTGTGCCAGGGTAAGTTTAGGTTGGATATCAGGAAACACCTCTTTACTGAAGGGCTGTTAAGCACTGCAATAGGCTCCCAGGGAGGTGGTTGAGTCACCATCCCTGGATGTGTTTAAAAACCGTTTGGATGTGGTGCTCAGGGACATGATTTAGCAGAGGGCTGTTAGTTAGGGTAGTATGGTCAGGTTGTGTTTGGACTCAGTGATCTTTAAGGACTTTTCCAACCTGAGCTGTTCTATGATTCTTCAATGCTTCGTGACTAAATATTGCAGTGTTTGATAACTGCATTTGTCCAGAAGGCAGAGGAAACTTGTTCCATAATTACTTACATGGTAAATAATTTTGACCACATGAAAACATATCAATAATTCTTTAACTTTCTGTTCAACAGTGTGTTTTTTCTGATAAAGTTGACTGAATACTCATTTCTTTTTCTTAGTTGACATCAAGACAAGTTAAACATGAGTAATACTATTAGACAAGCTATAATTAAGCCATGTTCAAGTAGCCCGAACGTTTTTCATT